TAATCTAAAAAAATTCTCTATACATATATGTGCACAACATAAAAGTAATTAATTATAGTTTTTTTTATTGAAAATAAGGTTAACTGTAGTTAGTTACAATTGACCCGATAAATTTCCATCATTTGGTAGCGTTGTACACTGATTTCATTATTAATGACCGGTAAAATTAATGACAAATTGTACACTAAATATATCACGAATATGTCTTTTTTTATCTTAGAATTTTGTGAAAAAGATCACAAATTTCTTTTAGGTTTTAAACTTAATGCGACAATGCACATCAACAATAAAATAGTCAAGTTGGTCAAAAGATTTTAAAAATATATCCAATATGTTTAAAGTAATCTAAATATGTCGTAAGTGTTTTATCTGTTTGTCATTTAGGTATGAGTATCTACTATATCATTCCTATTTTCATCTTTTCATCTTTCGATCCACCTATCAAATACACCATTAGACTTATACATTTCTCCAAAGAGAAACATTATATGGGACCTTAGATACCTTGCACTTAAATACCTTTTTCTCTTTCATTATTTCTTACCTTTTACGAATTTATGGTCTGAATATGAATCTAGAATCTCAGTCACAGCACATGGATTCAACCTGGAAAACGGTGGTAGTGGTTCTAATCTCTAAAATAAAATATGGAGATTAATGTAGAGGTATGACAAAAATAGTTTCCTGGTACCTACTTGCACACGTTGGTGTGTTAATCACTTTTTTTTTCCCACTTGTTTTAAAATCGAAAAGGGGTTTTAAAAACTCTCTTTTTACATCTTTAGAGATTAAATTTTTCACATTACACTCTAATTTATATTTGTACTACTAATAAAAATACTTTAGCATGAAAATTTTTTGATTCACTATTTTGTCCTTATAGAAAATTATAACGACTAACATATCCTTTTGAATTTAATACACAAATTACTATTATATCCTTATATTTTTAAATAACAAACAAATATCTAACAAATCATATAAATCTCTCTATCTTTACAAAACTTTTGAATAGTTATGCTATGTTTAACATGATATATAAATAAAATATTAATTTTTTTTCTAAAATCCCAATATTAATAAAGGTCGACAATTCTATTGATACAATATCATCTCTAATGCCTATATATATATAGTTTTTGTCTTCATTCACAATCAAAATAATTTGATAAAATGCGAAGTACAATAAGCCCAAATCAAAACAAACAGTTTGTACAAAACTTCATACCAAGGAGTCAAACATTAGGTTGGGCTCTCGACCGGTGAATGGGTCGAATCGAGCCACACGATCTAAAATTAGTTTTGGGTTCTTTGGAAGTTGATATACCTAATTAGATTTATTTGGTAAAAGGTACATAGAACAAAATGTGAGTTAAACATACATAAATGCCCATTTTAGGGTTATTTAATTCAAAATCTCTTATCTTTAATTCACATTGATTCATGTGTGTTTGTTAATACATATTTAATGCACCTTTGATTTATGTATTTATTAATACACACACACACACACACACACACACACATATATATACACGTGTATACTTGTTTATATACACGTATATACAAATATATATATATGTATATACAAATATATATACTTATTTATACACACACACACACACACATATATATATATATTATTAAATCTTTTATTTAAATTTTGAATTATTTTTAATGCATCTTGATTCATGCGTATTATTTTTTTGAAAAGTGATTTTGTTTTCAAATTATATTTAATGCACCTTGATTCAAACGTTTTTTTTTTTGGAAAATAGGTTTATTTTCAAAATAATTAAATATCCGAATAATGTAATAGTATAACAATAACAGTGTAATAATAACAGTTTAACAAATACACTGTAACAAAGTCAGTGTAACAAATACACTGCAACAAAAACAGTGTTCAGTAATTTTGTGCATATGGTAATAAATTCAAAATGGAGATAGACTATTTTAAATGAAATTATATGTTTGACAAAATGTAATAATACAATATTTTGTGTAAATAGCTTGTTACACTATTATTGTTATACTGTTACATTGTTAGTGTTACATTATTACACTTTTATTGTTACACTGTTATTATTAAATTTTATATTGTTACACTGTTATTGTTACACTATTATTGTTACACTATTACACTATTCGGATATTAAATTAATTTTAAAATAAAATCACTTTTTAAAAAAAATGCATGAATCAAGGTGCATTAACAGAAATTCAAAATTTAGATAAGAGATAACAAGTATATATATATATATATATATATATATATATATATTGTTTGAATTTCAAAATTTGTATTCATGTATATATGTATTAAAGTTCTACCATAAAACTAGAAGATGTTTAATGCACCACATTTCAAAGAAAAGTGGTGCATTAAATACACATGGATTAATAGAGGGCAAAAATGTTACAATAAAAATAGATAAATTCAAATTATGTACTTGAATATAAATAAGTGTCAAAATTAAGTACTTAATAACTTTACATTTTTTAGTGTGTACTTTTTTGTCAAATAAATTTAATTTGGTGTACCCTTTACAATTTACCTATTATTTTTTGATAGGCCTAGAGTCAGGCCCTATTTTGCGAGCTGATGGACCACAATACAGCCCACTGTCGAGTTGTCATGTGGTGTCTGGCTTGAAAGAATCGAGCACAGTCGGTCATGGCTCATGGGTCGTGGACTAAATGTCTGCTTAGATTTTTTTGCACATCACTATTTTAGTCTCTACACCTTGAGAAAATGGCCAATGACCAAGGTTGAGATTAAGAACAAACCAAATAAATTTTCCTCTTAAAATTATGAGGAATGAGTGCATGAACATGTCTAATAGTTATGTTATATTAAACAAAACAATATATAGCTATATAAAGTTTATGTTGTCTTAGTATAGAAGATTTGTACACCTTAGTAGATGGCAATATTATTGTATTTTGATAAATTATTTCTCTATGCTTTGTGCTTGATAGTATATTCTTAAGCCTATATCTACATTGACCAAATTACTAAACTTGTCAAATTCTTCTAACATTTATCTAGTCAAAATCAATACAAAATAGTGAGATTGAACAAAACTATGCAAATTTTGGTCATACTACATCCACCGTCCGCCACTCTTAGATATTGAGTTTTATTCACTGTCAAAATGAACAAATCTTAATTAGAATTAGAAAATAAAAGAAATATACACATTCACACACAAAATACAAAAACAAGCACAAAAAGTGAGATCAATTGGTTGATGGAAAGAGAAATATAAAAAATAATTCAAATAATTGTGAAACTTAAAAACTATAGGAGTTTTTTGACTTTTTTGTTTCGATTGTTATAATAGAAGAGAGAATGTGTATGAAATAAAAATGTTCAAACTAACTAATCAATATTAAGTTAAAATTTAAAAGGTTAAAAAGTAAATGAAATAAACTAAAAGCTTTTACGGTATGTGTTGGAGGAAGGATTAAAAGTCCAATTATTTGAAGGTAAAAAAGAGACTTTTTATATACTATTATTTGAACAATCATGTAGAAGTGCATCAATAAATCAATACGAAATTAAGTGGCAATGAAGTGGCTGCAAAAATAGAATTAAATAATGGTTGTATTGTAAATTAAATGGTTGGTGAAAAGAAGTTAGGGGAGATAAAGTCATCAACTTGTAAAATAAGTAAATGTACACTATAAAAAATAATAATTTATATGGAAGTGGAAGTATATGAAGGGCCGTTTGAATATTTAATTAATATTTAATAATTAAATACATAAATAGTCAATCAAAAAATTTTCACTTAGCTTCTTTTTATTAATTGTATAGATAAGGGTGTATTTGATAAGTGGTAATGAAGCATCTGAATGGAATGATACTTATTTAGTAATGTTCATTCTAATGTTTGGTATGTAGTAATAAAAATTCATTTCCATTACAATAGAATGCCTAATTCCACCAATATAAAATTTGTCATTTCTTAATATTTTGTGGTATTTCTCATTCTCAATTATCATCACCACTACTACCACTCCACCTCCACTCGAGGTCAAGTTTAGGGTTGGGTCTCAGTCCAAGTCCAAGGCCAAGTTTGGTTCAAGTTCAAGTTTGGGTTTAGATTAGGTTTGGATTTGGGGTCTGGGTTCGGTCATGGGTCTGAGATCAAGGTTGGGTCCAGGTCTACGGATTATCCAAATATTTGAGTAAATTTTTAATTTTATTTCAACACTTAATCTTATTTGTTATCAAATATTGATTTGGTAATGTACATTCTATTCTATTCTCACATTCATTTAATTTTCACATTCATTCTATTCCCACATTTATTCTATTCCAATATAAAAAAGTATTATTATATACCAAATATAGCATAAGTATATTGAGAACTAATTCATAACAAGCAAGGTAAGTATTCTTCTAATATAGAGCACTAGATTAATGATTTTACACCTTAGTGTATCCAAAATTAAGGAGATGGTGTGGGAACGGAGTGTAAAGACGGGAAGAAAACGGAGCCAGCTCAAACATGAGCCAAAAGAAAATGTCGACAATAGCCTGAATATCCTCACGTCTCTAGTGAGCTGCGTTGATATATACCGATCTTTCTAATTTAATATTCTCATTTTGCTAATTTATTATACCAAATTAATCCTTGTGGATATCTTATCTGTAATTTTACAACTCTGCACTACATCAAACAAGGGGTTTAGCCAATTTTTGTAGATTTGAACGTAGCACCTCGAAGGGAGTCATTAGCCACTCGGATGGACCCAAAGATCTGAAAGAGTACACTATTGTTCATGCTTTCACAAATGCAATACAATCTCTCCCACAAAAGCCATCCAAACAGTCCCAGAGGAATGGCAGTTTGTAAGTTGCATGCCATACATATTAGTTTGTCAAATTTGCCTGCTGATAGTTTCATTAGCGATTGTTGGTTTGCTCTTTTGAGCTGCAAATCTAACTGTATTCTTCCACCCTCCCCCTAAAATCAATTCAATTCGTCTCAGTCCCACGAAAGATAGTTATCAACAGGCACATCCCAATCCCAGCCACCATTTTCAATGACTTGAGAAGGATTACTGGCAATGTCGTGGCCTCCTGAGGACACGTTATCAGCTGGTGGGCTTATTCTGATCTCTGTCAATGGCTGGTTTTGATGAGGTGTTGCCTCAGTACCATGCCGAGGTTGGTGAACTGTTTCTTCACCAATCATCACTCCTGACGGTCTTCTGTCGAATGCTCGTAAGGTTGTTGATTTCAAGTAGACTCGGCACAAACTAATTTCCCGCCTTAACTGTATAATACAAGGAAATAATAAGATGAAATAGGTAGAAGAAATCCTGTGTGGGATTTTTCTGTCCACCATCTAAAATTAATTAGTGGTACTTACAAATACATACCTTGATGGAAGGGAAGGCCTATTCATGGATAGGATTAATGATAGAAATATATATTGCACATTTTGTACACAGCTAGTGTTTAAACCTGCTTAATGATCTAGTGGGGATTTCATCGAAAGTGGTTGGCTTTGATTTTTTTTTTTTCAATTAGATTTCTAATAAGCCAGCTTTCCGCTGAGAAAAAAAGCATGAATTGTATTTAGGATTTATTTTGAAACCTATCTATTCATTTGGGTACTCAATCAAATGCATGCTTATATAAGCAAGATTTTGAGGTGGAATATAAAGATAGAAACCCTTTTTTCTTCATGAAAAAAACTTGAAAAGAAACTTAAGAATAGCCCCTAACTTGTTGTTAGGGTTTGAAGCACCCAACGAAGTCATAACTGTAATCATTGAATTTGGAGAAAAACATAGAGCTTAGAGAAGAAGGATGGAGCTTAGAGATAGTTGATTTAGAGAAGGAATTTCCAAACTTTAGAGAAAGTAGTTGATTTAGGAGGAGGAGGAGGTATTGTTTAATTTCAACTTCAAGTAGATCTTATTCCGGGGGCCATCTACTCATTAAGATCCTCAATCAAAAGCACAAAGATGTTAGGGTTTAAACCTAGAAACACAAACTGTTCCTAAACAAGCTATATATTTTACCTTTGGAGTTGCATTACTAGATGAATAAGCTTCTCTTTCAATGGCTCTATACTCATTCATCTTCCACTCAGTCTTTCTTCCGCCTGGAACTCTTCCTCTGTAGAAAACCATGGTTCTCTTCACTCCAATTATACGATTATTCGAGTATACGTAGCCCGGAGAACCACAGGCTTTCCAATATCCTGTACTTGTGAGCCGGTTAGGTCTTCCTCCATTGGCTTCTCTCTGTTGCAGCGGAATGAAGAAAAACCACTGCTCAGTGTCTCCTTGACATAACTCTCCTGCAAATTCTGGCTCCAAAAAAAAAAGCACGGAAGTGAGCTCTTCTTGATTTTGGTTGGATTGTAGTTTTCGTGTTATTCATCTAATTCTATAATAGATAGAGCTTAGATAACAAAAAATAAAGTTCGGCAAGGTTATAAACAAATTGAGAAACCAAAATCTCACATATTTCTATTATCTTGTGTAGAGTAAAGAAAATTAAACTAGAGTAAAAATGGTATAATTTTCTATAAGCAAAAAAAGGATGGAAAAAGAAGAAGAAGGTATAATTAGAATGAGATTAACTTGGAAACATCCATGGCAAAACATATCAACTATGACTAGTCATTCTGTACTTACTAGTAACTTCAACCAAGACAACGGTGCTGTGCTTAAACACTTAGAGAAGGGCTAAACTAGAAAATAATTGAACTGCTAAGATTTAACGATTCTTTTAAGAATCCTCAAAACAAGAAATAATATGAGATTGCAACATGAGAATTTTACTAACGTGGGAGGTCCCATGGATTGTACTCATAGATATCAACAACTGGTATAACCCGGTCGAGGTCTTGTCTCCTTCCTTCAAGCTTGTTATGCAGATAGAATGAAACCAGCTCTTCTTCTGTTGGGTAGAATCTAAAACCTGATGGCTGATCTTCCATTACCTTCTCTCTCTCCCTCTCTAAAACGGATGTCTAACTTGTCCCTAATTAAGCCGGAGACTCATTTCACCGTATGTTTTGAGTCTTGTATTTATAAAGCGAAGGGTTTGCAAGATGAGGTTTCTCCATCGATCGGAGATTTCCACGCTGCTGTGGGAGAGAATTTTCCACTTGGATTGCCATTTGTCAAAACCATCTAGTACGACGTCGGCATTGACCAATCTTAGAAAATTCAAATAAAAACTAAAAAATTAGGAAAATACCATTTAGACATAATTTTGGGATTTGGTGGCTTAATGATGTACAACTATCAAATTAGCTGCGAGGTTCTTCCAACATTAGAACTCACAAATAATTCAATTGTTGCATTAAAACCATATCACTAATACTCCGTTTGGTAAGGAGGATGGAAGTATGAAAAATGAAAAATATGAGAGATACATTTTCTATCATTCAAAGACGGAAAGTATGAATGATACACTTCACTTCCTTTGTATTTGGTTGGATAGATGGAAAATAAAAATGACTATTTTTTTTTGCTAGCTAAGATTAGGAGTGATAATCAAATCGTGTCGTGTCAGATTCGTGTCGACTTATTATAGTTTTGTGTCAAACATTAGTCAAACATAATTTAACACATTTAACTAATTGTGTCGTGTCAAGTTGCGAGTTAACCTGTTTATTTTTGTATCGTGTTCGTATTTGTATTCGTGTTGGCCCGCATAAATTTTGAATAAAAAATTTAACGTTAATATTTTATTTTCACTTAATTGAATCCATGTTAATATTTTTTCTGTAAACTAAAAATTAACTTAAATAAATATAATAATAATAAGTAAAAATATTTTTTTTATATAATAATTATGTCAGTGCTTAATAAATAGTTACAAATAATTAACATTTTATGTCTATAATACTAGTTAAACATATTAGTTTCGTGTTACTATACAGACAAAAAAATAGATAAAGTGTTTATTTTTAAATAAACGGATTAATGGTGTCAATTTTGAGTTTAACTAATTGAACTGAATATGAATTTTTTATATTTTTTATTCTCGTGTTATGTCATTTTCAAGTTCGTGTCGAGTTCGAGTCGTGTCATAGTGTTGAGTCGAAAATTTTCACTCGATAAATTTTTTTTAATTTTTAATTTTTTTAAAATTTTAAATTTTAAATTTAATTTTTAATATAAATACATATTTTATCATTGTATTTTTATATGAAATTAATGTATACATAATATATGTATATATTAAAAGATAAATAGACAAATAAGATATATCTTAACACAAATAATTAAATTTTCATTTGCTTTTCTTCAGATTTTAAAGTGATTGATTTTGGTGAGTTGGAAAGAAAGTTAATTCATTCATTTTTTCATCATTTCTATTTTTTTTCCTTACCAAATATGATGTTTTATTTATCTTTTAAATATTTCATCCTTCTAATTTTCTATCCTTTCATTTTTTCATCATATCAAACGGAGCATAAGTACCAAAATAAGGTTCTCAAATAAGATCCTTATAACATTCCTTAGATAAATGAGTCCTATCAACTTTTTCAATGAAATCCACTTATCCAACGCTCATTCAAAGAATGATATACATTTGAATTTCAATTCTTACCTCACAAATCTCTATTCTCACTCCATTTAATTTCTCATTATCAAACTACTAAGCTCACTTCTTCTATACCTATCCTATTAGCAACTAAACTCACCCTATGTGACATACATCCTATTAATAATTAAATTCACTCATTGTATGTAATCCCCTTTAATGAAAGAAGTCATCCTAAGAAAAAAAATAATGAAAAGAAGACAATTAATTTAAATATATAAATATATTTAAGAAACAAGAAAAAAAAAGTACCAAGCAAAACTAAAACAAGAAAAAACACCAAAAACGAAAAAAGTGAAAAAAAAAACTAAGCATGCTGAAACAATTAAAAAAAAAAAGAACAAAACAAAAAAACAAAAAAGGAAAGAAAAAAGCAGATCGAAACAAGAAATTTACCCAAAATAAATATATTGATACTTTAGAATGTAATGTGAGAAATTTTATAGTTGATGATACAAAATAAAACAAGAGGAATAGTTCATAACGATAAAGTGTTATTTACCCAAAGTAAACCTTAAATATCTTGATGGATTGGCTTTGTGGCCTGCTCTGTCTTCCTCCGGTCAGCAATTGCCTAGATGGTTTGACTTTGTGGATCCCTCTCCTCCAATAAGATGCTTGAGCTGTTTGATGTGGTGTGTGTTATGTGTGTGAATTTCTTTGCATGCTTGACCCAAAAAAAAAAAAAATCTTAAATATTTACATTTTCCCATTAAGATTTATTATCATGTGAAAGTCATACCACAGTTGTTGCCACAATTTTTTTTTGAGACTACGTCTATTATAGCAAAACATACCGTCACAATACCTTATCGTAAAAAGTGGAGTCTCAAAAAATCTATTGTAACGTCAATAACCTGTTTCAAATAATATTTGTAACAACAAATAAATTTTTTGTGACACTACTATCGTTACCAAAAAAAAACTTTGTTTTCCTCCAAAATACACTTTTTTTTGGTGATAGTGAACATTGTTGCCGCAAAAACACTTATCTTAAAAGACCCTAATTCTTGTAGTGTATTGAGTTAATTTTAATACGATTTGAAGTGGTGGTGTTCTAAATAACATTTCTCTTTATCAAATTATAACGCATTTGGTCATGGCCCTATTTTTCTACTACATTTTTCTTGTCTTTTTATTATTATTATTTAAGTATCTCTAACCTGCACTTGGTTATAAATTTACAATTTAAAAGGACCTTTTCATTCAAATACACATAATTTATGGTGTGAATCCAATCTACAATAACGGCGGTGAATTCAACCCGGAACATGACGACCAAAGTCAATTGTCCGTATCCATCCGACCTTACAACTTTTCCAAAATTAATTGTTGCCCCACTTGGAGTTGAAGAGACGATGGAGAAAGTGATCGGAGTTGGAAAGTTCAAGAGCACATGAAGATGTGGAGGAGTGGGTTCCGGACATTCACGCCCTTGAGTTGAGAGGATGTTCCAAGTCTAGGAAATTGATATATTGATGTTCCGAGAGAGAGAGAAAGAGAGAGAAGGTTTCTTCAAAACCCATATCAAGTCCAAGCAAGAGAAAAGTTCAGCATTCACGTTCAAGCCCACAATTTGTACGCAAAATATGTGAGAAAGCCCAGTCCGTGGGTGGGGCAGAAATTGACCATTCCGACTTTTAGTGTGAATCCAATCTACAATATCGGCTGGTGGATTCAACCCGTAAGACGAAGGTCCTAATCACTTTGAAAAATTGTCAATTTCAGACAATATGAATATGAATATGAAGGCTCATGACAAAAGGCATTAAAACGCACATTCCTAGCAACATATAATAAGCTAATTATATGGTAAATGATCATTACACCTCCTATATTCCTCTCATTTAAATATCACGACATAACCATGACGTAGTGGCGTATGGTAGAAGTTCAAAATACTCAAGTAATTCTTCTGGAACATATTAAAAACCGTCCCCCCTCCCTCCCTCCCTCCACTTCCTTCTTCTTCAGAACACTTCATCGATTGCCACCACCAGCCACCCCTACCATTGCCCCCACATTCTTCACTAGCCACCCAAAAGACGAGTAGAAAGCCCTAAGCAACTTTGCCCCCACATTTCATGTCTCACACCCCCCAATTCTCTACTTTTCTCCCTCTCAACAGCTGATCAAGAATGCAATTTGTGAAATGTGCAACTTTTTGATTGTCTGACAACAGTGTTTATAGGCCTTCATTAGAATTGTTTGTCGGCAAACTTGTGTGTGAAAATTGTTGGTAGTGGTGTACAGTGGATGAAACGGTGGCAGTTTTCTATTCAACCTCTTCTATATGTGCTCATGATTCTGAGTCTTGGTTTTGATTCACATTGGTACATAAGTTCGTTATACAAATTTCAATGTAGATTGTGATTCTATTTTGAGTCAAAATGGTGGAGATGGTGAAGGTTGTGATACTGGTGCTGTTGATTCAGTTGTTTTAGGGATGAGATTTTGCTAAGGTGGGATGTGATTCTACCATGGCGAAAAAAGATGTTGCATGGTGGGGGAAGGCTTTTTTGGGGTAAGGGGAAGGGGAGGTTTTGCTCCTATGGCATTTGCCTAGGGGGTGTTCAGAGTGAGGGTGATGGAGACATAATTTTAAAATCCAGCCCAAACATCAAACCGGGAAGATAATCAAGTAAATGGGTCAATTGTTCAACCGTTGTGTCACTGGTAAGACCAATAACATAATAAAAACATAAAAAATAAATATTGATGGTAATAAATAGTCTGAAAATTCATAATAATTATGGAAATAGTATGTTTAATGTATATTACACTAAACAAAACCCCAAAAATTATCAAACATGTATGCAATTTAACTAGCAAATAATTTCAAGATTCATCAACATTGCTTATAGTATATACAATTTCATCACATACAAAATTGAAAAAAAAATAACAAATAATTTCAAGATTTATCAAAAAATTGGCTAATTGCATAATCTGAAATTGATAATGTGATCTATCACAAACAGGCACGATAGAGAGTGATTTACCAGCTGTGTCAAGTGAGGGAAGGAAATGACAGATCTTCAATGAAAGCTAAAGATCTTCAATGAAGCAAGTCCCCAATGCAGACCGAGTGAGTGAAGGCTGAAAAGCCTGAAATAGATCGCCATTGAAGATCTGACGGTGGTCGTCCAGGAATCCTTTGTCCTTACTCTTGTCTTCGGTTTGTACTTCGATCAATGGAGAGAAAGAAAGAGAGAGAGCGAGGGAAGAGCTTCGGCCTTCGAGTCGTCAGACGAGGAGAGTGTGAGATTAAGGATTAGGACAAAATGCACTAAAAAGCTGGTTTTTATTGGATCCGCCTAGTTTGTTAAAAAACCGTCAAATTTAAAGGTTTGGACAAAAATCGATTGATTCAGCGGGTTTTGGGCAATTTTGGTGCACAAATGATCTAATGTAATAACCAATCCAATTTATGGTCCGATTTACTGGATCAACCTGTCGCACCGGGTCGAATTTTAAAACACTAGATGAGGGTCTAATTTTTAATTAAAAGTAACTTTGTTTCAAAAAATAATTTAAAAAAAAAAAGAATATAAGTTTTGTTTTAGTGAACAAGAGTTTAAAATCACACTAGGGTTTATGTGGTTATATCTAAGAGTCAGGGAGGAGAAGTGCAACTAACTAATGGGATGAACTTAAATTTATCCTTTCGTTAAAAAATTAACAGAACACAATCCCCCAAAAAAAGTACATAATGACAATTACAAGAACCAAAACTTAAAAAGTCATTAACATAGAATAAATTAGATTTGCTAATATATATAAACTTCATGCTTGTAAAGAATTCTAAGCAGAGATGATTTGAAAATTATTGTTCCATTGCATAACTTGAAGTACACCACATATACACTTTATATAGAAGTGTAATCTAACTAATCTACTATATTTACTCTTATCTATTATAGGGAATGAGTCTTCAAATATAACAGCTAGTTTTTGTTAGACAATTGAGCAGGCCTAAGTTGAAGTTGCTCTTCCTTATCCAGTGCAGTTGACTCCTGATTCAAAGTAGTTGACTGGATCAACTGAACTACATCTGATTCAATAATGCTTAACCCCACGACTGCAATATGCCCAATATTATATTCGCTTCCTGTTAGTAAGTTGCATGAAGTCTTAGTTAATTAATGAAATTTGCAGTTTCTACTTGCTGAAATATAGTTTCACCATTGTTGGTTGCTGATTTGAGCTCCAAATCCTCTCAAATAGTTCCAATTCCATTAAAACCAATTCAAATCATCCCCAGTCCAACCAAAAATTATTATCAACAGGCACATCCAAGTCCCAGATATCATTTTCCACAACTTGAGGAGGGGGATTGACATTGTCTCCTGTGGATGTGTTTTTTGGTGAACTTGTTCTGATCACCGTCATTGGAGGGCTTTGATGAGATGTACTTGTGTCGTTAAGTTGATGAGGTTGGCAAACGATTGCTTCGCCCGTAATCATCATCACTCCTGAAGGTCGTCTGTCAAATGCTCGCAAGATTGTCGATTTTAAGTAAATTCGACACAAATTGAACTCTTGCCTTAACTGCAGGATAAAAAATTCTTGAAAATGATCATACTAATCATTATATCAAATTATGTAAGAGCAATGTTATGGGGACCTTATTTGAGATCTAATAATGTGATTTTAATGTAACTATTAGATTAGTTATGAGTTCCAATATTAGATGGAGTCCACAATCAATCCAATAGTTGTACATCATTAGGTCCAAATAGCGTTTTCCATTATGTAATGATAATTGATTAACTAATTACAAAATACATTTGATCATGCACTTACCTTTGTGCAATGCACATATACAAGTAAAACATGACAATAAGTATGAAATGAACTAATAGATGAAACTAGAGTTTTTAATAATTGAATCATCATTTATGGCATCTAGATATGGGACATAAGTTACTTGGTCTTCAACAATACGTGCATGCAGAACTAGTGGGAATTTAAGTTAACTCCGAGCTATGTTGTATCCCGAGAACAATGTTGTCGCACACAAATAAGGCCCTTAGAGACCCTAAAATTTTTTAGTATTATGATGGTGACAGTACTAAAAATCTTGAATGTAGCCCTAATTTACTTTTAAAAAAATTACGGGGTTTAAACCAGCCAATAGATGTAACAACTATAATCATTGAAGTTATGTATCCTATCCTTTGGAACTTTAAATCAGCCAATAGATGTAATAACTATAATCATTGAAGTTATGTATCCTATCCTTTGGAACTGTTCAGACTACCTAAAGATGATGGAAGAAGAAGAAGAAGAGGAGATGATGTTGTAATTCAGGTAGATTTTGTTTGGGGGGAGGGGGGCGGCCTAAAAACACCTAAATTTTTACAGAAAACTCAATCCCACATATATACATAATATAAACCTTTGGAGTTGCACTTGCTGACGAAGAAGCTTCTCCTGCAATGGCTTTGTACTCATTCATCTTCCACTCAGTCTTTCTTCCTCCGGGAGCTCTTCCCCTGTAGAAAACCATGGTTCTCTTCACTCCAATTATTCGGTTATTCGAGTAAACAGAACCTGGAGATCCAGTGGCTCTCCAATATCCTTTAGTCGTGAGCCTGTTAGGTTTTGCTCCATGGGCTTCTCTCTCTTGCCTAGGAATGAAGAAAAACCACTGCTCAGGATCCCCTTGACATAACTCTCCTGCAAACTCTAGGGAGCAAAAATGCTTGGAATGGTTATATAAACAATTTTAGAAACCAAATTCTGAAATAATTAAGGTGGAGAGAGAGAGAGAGAGAGAGAGAAAGAGGGAAATAAAGGTGTTCATACAATAGTATGAACAAACTACAAAGTGAAAACTAAAATCTTAAATATTTCTGCTATCTTCTGAAGAGTAAAGACAATGGAACAGCAGTGAGGATGACACAATTTGCTGCAAGAAAATAAGGGATTTAAGAAACAATACTTAGGATTAAGCCTGACAATTCTACACACGACTCGTGAAGCCGACACGAATCTGACACGGATTTAGCGTGTTTAGGTGTAGTTCTAACGTGTTCGGGTGATTAATGAATTCACTTGACAGACTCGTGAAATAAATGAACCGATTTCGTATTTAACCCATAAATTCATTTCAACCCGTTAATAGTGGTACAATAAATTTTTAAAAAACAAATTAAGTCTCTTAGCCTTTGTCTCATCTCACATCTCCCATCTCCCAGAATTATTCAAATTTAGTAGTCATTTAATGTTTATTTTTTGTTTTTTTGTTTTTGCTCAGCCATGATTTATTGTAATAGTAAACAAGTCATACATATGTAATGTGTGGCGAGTTAATGATTTTTCATGTGGACTCAAAATTATCTAGCCTATTCTCTTATTTAGCGAATGACACACGGGTTGTATTGAATAACCCGTCTAATAAACAATTCGTCTACGAGTCTGATAGTTGAACTCGTTTATATAAATGAATAGAATATAGATAGAGGATTTTTTGACACAAACCCGTTCCACCCGATACGAAACCATTTCACTCAACACGATTGCCGAGCCTATGAGATTAAGTTTGAAACCTCCAATGGAAAAACATATTTAATATGACTAACATGCTATAACTTCACCCAAGACAAGTAGAGAACTGCATTTAGACACTAGCTTATCACCACAGAGAGGCTAAACATTATAAAGAAACTACTTGAATTGTAGAAATTTGACAATTCTTTCAAGTATTATCAGAAGGAAAAAAAAAAAGAAAAAGAACAAAAAGAAAGTATATGAGACGGCAAGATATGAGAATTTTACTTACTTGGGAGGTCCCATGGATTGTATTCATAAATGTCAACCATAGGTATAGCCCGGTCGAGGTCTTGTCTAGTTCCTTCAAGCTTGTTGTGCAGATAGAATGAAACTAACTCTTCTTCTGTTGGGTAGAACCTAAAACCAGGGGTCCTATCATCCATGTCTCTCTCTCTCTGTGTTTCTCTCTCTTGATTATTCACACATTCTTCTGAGGTATGTTTTGGTTCTGTATTTATAGAGGAGGACAAGGAGAGAGACGAGTGAAGAGAGAGAAAAAACTAGATGACGCCTTTGTATTGAGGCTGCTGGGAAATTTCCATGTTGCCGGTGAGAGGCAAATACAATCTTGTTCACTCCACTGCAACTTCCGGTACTAGACAACAACATTGTAGAATTAGTCAGTCTTTTATCTTCCACTTAATTGGCAGACTTCTCTTGTCAAAGTCCTTGCCGTCCTATATTATCTTATAATTAATTATAGCGTTGTATCTAAATTATTCAATAGAGTAATGCTACATGAACTTAAAAAATAGACTTGATAATCAATATAATAAAGTAGGTTACAATTGTCTTTCATGAATAAACTACAAGTACTTAATAATTTTAGGAGATAAATTGTCTTTCTAATATTTTTGCAGAAGAAAAACCTAGAACAGTCTAGTAATTGTTGTACATTGTTATCACCTCACATTGAATTCTGGAAGGAATTGCTTATGCAATGCCGCCACCCCAACAAAAAAGTGTGTGTGTGTGAGAGAGAGAGAGAGAGAAACTCTTTTGCAATTCCCAGGAAAAGTTCAGAACAAGTGAAGTCCAAGAGGAAGTGAAAGTACAATATCAAGAAATGATGTTTTTGGTATTGTAATGAAACTCTATAGGAAATGGGAGGAAGATTCCTAAAATCAGTCATTCAAGTATGAGTTGTTTTATTTATCAAAAAAAAAAAAAAAAAAGAAGAGTATGAGTTGTTTTAAGAAAAGTTTCCATAAAAACCGAAATTCATTGTATTTCATGTTCGATAGTGAACTTTCTCAAGTAAATTGTAACTTTACATTTCAAAAGTAACCAAAGAAAAGAATGAATGAAGTTGCATAACATACTCCTCTTAGTATTCTCAAGTAGCCCACAAAATTATAAATAATCTACAAAAATTGTAATTTTAATCATAAATATTGTAATATTTTACTTTAAAAGTTATATTTTTTTTTTTGTTATTGTAAAATGACCTTTAAAAGTTATAAAATCACCTACAAAAATTATAAATTTTGGAGCTCCGGAATTTTTTTATTTGGATACGGTGGTCTTCTCTATGACTTTGAATTCCAATAACGTTACAAGGTTGAATTCCAATCACTTTGACAAACGTCAAAAAATTATTTGTCCATCAAATGCCCATTTTAAAGAGAAATACACGCAAACGTGTTGTTGAATTTTTAAGCTTATGTAGTAAAGTGATAAACGACATGGTTAAAATCGCATTGTTAAACTTCTCGCGTAGAATCATATCATTTGACACATTATTAAATTAACAAATTAAAATAATCTTTTATAGAATGTTTCTTTGATCTTGTCAACAGCCGGCTTCTTGCCTAATCTTCTAGAGAACTTTTCTTAGCTTTTTCTCTTTCATTTTCTCTGTAACTTGCACTCAAACAACATGAAAGCTACAAGGGAAATTTCGCTTCAAATGTATAGATTATTAGCTTGTTTAAAATAATACCCAAATGGATTTGTATATTTCACCGAATTTATGGTCTGAATGTGAATCTAGAATCTCAGTCACAGCACGTGGCTTCAATTCAACCAGGAAAACGGTGGTAGCGGTCCTAATCTCTTTCCATTTACATGGGCCCATGGGCTGCTGGATTGGCGGGCACAACCCCCAGCTGTCTTATTAAAAAAATTCTCCCTATAGGATAGTAAATTATTAGTGATGAATATATAGAGTGATGTTGAGGTATGAAAAAAATAGTTTACCTTGTACCTACTTGCACTTGATGAAATGTTAATCACTTCCTTTTTTTCTTCTTTTTCAAAACCGAATGGGAGAATCACACCGTGCCATGAACAATTTAAAATTTCTTATTTTATACCTTTAAATATTAAATTTTTTATATTGCACCCTCGTTGTATTAAAAGTGTTGCAGTATGACGCTTTCGTTAACTTTTGTTACTTATTCCCTCAAAGGCAAAAAAAATATTCATAAAACACACATTTATAACAATACGTTGCATATGGTATGTAGTGATGAAGTAGGGGTGGCAATTGTCTTGTGTCAGGTTGTGTTGTGTCAGGTTGTGTTATTTGGATTCATGTCGAGCACTAGTCAACCCTAGCCCAACCTGTTTAAGTAATTGTGTCGTGTCGACCTATTTATTTTCGTGTCATATTTATGTTAATCCATCTAATCCGTGAATAAAAACTTTAACACATAATTTTATGTCTAAAATTTCATTATCATTTAATTGAACTTACACTCCTACTTTTTCTATAAACTAAAAATTAATTTAATAAATATAATATAAAAATAATTAAAAATATATATTTTTTTTGTACAAGAATTAAGTTATTACTTGATAAAATACAATAAAATTAACATTTTATTCTTATAATATTACTTAAATGTATTAATTTCATGTTGTTCGTATTTGACAATAACTCAAACCATTTATTATTCATGTTAATAGGTCATGTTATATCTGGGTTTGAGTTGAGAATAGTCAACTCTAACCTACTAATTTTGTGTCAATTTTTAGTCATGTTTTTGTATTGTGTTAAAAATTGTCACCCTTATAATAAAGCATAAAATGAAATGATCATTATTTAATAATATTTATTCTAATGTTTGGTATGTAGTAACAAAAATTTATTCTCATTACTATGAAATGTCTAATTCCACTAGTGTAGGATTGTCATTCCTTAATATTTTGTGGTATTACTCATCGCCAACTATCAGCACTCGTCGCTACCATCACCACCATCCCACTACTCGTTGTCCAGGGTTGGGACCTGTTCGGGGTCTAGTCCGGTCCAAGTCTAGCTCGGGGTTCAGGTTTGAGTTTGAGTCTGAGTCAAAATAGTAGTCCAAGTTGGGTCTAGTGTCAGGTGGGGGTCGGGGTCTAGGTCCGATCCAGTCTGTGTCTAGGTTAAGGTCTAGGTCTAGGTTTGGGTCATGGGTTTAAGTAGGTCTGAGTCCAGGATTGGTCCAAATCTGAGTCTAGAGTTTATCTAAATATTTGAGTAGATTTTTAATTTTATTTCGACCTAATTATTATCAAATATTGAAATTATAATGTACATTTCATTCCATTTCCATATATAGCACTAGATTAATGATTTTAAACCTTGGGATGGCCAAAATTGTGGAGATGTTGCGGGAACGGAGTGTAAAGAGAGGGAAAGAAAACGAAGCTAGCTCAAACATGAAATAAAAGAAACTGTCAACAGTAGCTTGAACCGGCCTTTCTAATTTATCATACTCGTTTTTCTGATTTATTATACCAAATTAATCCTTGGGGATATCGAATTTCTAAACTCCGCCAACAACAAGCATCGATCACCCACGCAAGTCACCATTACGTTACGTCAAACAAAGGCTTCAGCTACTTTTTTTCTTTTGTTCAAGCTATTACATGGGGAGAGGAAATTTGAACCTAGCACCTCTTGGTGCATGAAGGGAGTCATTAGCCCCTCAGATGTACCCAAAGGTCTTGCTTCAGCCACTTCACCAAATTTTTATTTCAAACCACATAAGTCATGGGATGATACATTGCATGGTTTTGCCTCAAATAGTTTGAATAGGAGATCAGTGGATGCGAATATGCATTAGAGATAAAGATAATGTTTTTAACCTTTTTGAGGATTAAAAGTATAGTGAGATTAGATCCATAAACTAATATTGACGGCCTTGCGAGGAGTTTAGCAAACTAGGCCAACGTTAACTTTAGAGATATTACTTTTTTTTCCCGGAAGGTAAAATGATTCTATTGATACAAAAGGACAAGATACAACAGGGTGAATTCCCTTACAAACAATAAGAGCCAAACTATAGAATTTTGGGGGAAGTGAGGATGATTGTCCAGACTTCCAACAAAATGCATTAGTGAAGAGAATAGTCCAAACAACTATTGGGGATCTGCCACACTTGAGCAAGTCACAGGTTACTGTTGGTGGGCTTGAATCTGAGAGAAACAGCTCTATCTCTAATGGTTTGGACAATGAGAGTGAGGAGGGAGGAGTGGTCCCTAGACTTGCCTTGGTGAATTCTAATGTTTCTCTCCATCCAAAAGTAATAGATAGAAACAACAAAACTAAGCTTTAGGAGGGTAGTGCACATAGAATTACCTTTCCAATGCTGGCTTGCATAGTTGATGATCCCCTGCCATGACATGTTTTGCATTTGCTGCCCACTAAGGAGTAGCAATTGAGCCCAGATAGAATGAGAGAAGTCGCATTTAAAGAATAAGTGGGCATGTGACTCGGGTGATGAGTTACAAAGAGAGCATTTCAAACTAATATCAGCAGAAAAAGAATGGATTCTGTTTTTGGTGCTAAGTCTGGATCTGATGGCAAGCCACAAATGAAGGACATTTTAGGGATTGATTGGCTATACCAGATAAGGTGTTGCTAATGGACTTCTGAGGATGGGGATTTAAAGAGATTCCAGGCTGAGGAAGTGGAAAAGGTACCACCTGGGGAGGGAGACCATTTGATTTTGTCCTCTCTAAGTGGAGATGGAAGGTAATTAGGCATGGGGAGGGAGATATCCAAACGCTGAGGGGAGATGGTGGAAGGCCAGTTCCAATGGTTGCCAACCACAATAGATCTTACCTTAGCATTAAAGGGAATTCCAGAATCTTCCACAACATTAGTGTTACATATGGATTGAAGAGGACCTCGGGGGTGCCAATTGTCAAACTACAAGTGAGTGCTTTCTCCATTCCCAATAATATGATAGATGTGGGGTCTGAGAGTATCTCTTAGCTTAAGTAGGTTAAGCCAGTTCCATGAGCATATTTGGGGAGGCTTTACCTCCCAAATATTCTTTCTTCCTCCTTTGAGATGATATGTATGAATCCACTTGACCCAGAGACTTTGATTATCATTGAAGAGGAGCCAAATGTATCTGCACATAAGGGTAGAATTCAAGTCCTTGAGTTTCTTGATTCCCAAACCCCCTTCTTTCTTAGGCTTACAAACATCATCCCATGCAACCTTGGCCCCGGTAGATTTCAAATCAGTACCTTTCCATAAAAAAAACCTCAAAATTTTTTCAATGGAATCAAGGACTTGTTGTGGAATAAAAAGGTTGGAAGCCCAGAAGATATGAATGCTAGATAGGACATACTGAATTAGCTGGAGTCTTCCTGCAAAAGAAAGGAACTTATTGATCCAGCTCCCAACCTTTGCAACAATCTTCTCGATCAATAGGGAGCAGTGGGTAGCTTTGAGTCTAGAGGAGACAAGAGGAACTCCAAGATATCTAACAGGAAGTTGGCCCTCAGAGAAGCCTAACAACTGAATGATCTGTAGCCTAGTATCTTGGGGAATGGCTATCATGAAGATCTCACTTTTAGAGGGATTAGTTTGGAGTCCTGAAATTTTCTGAAAAAGATCAAAAGCTTCCTTAAGAATTTTGACAGAATGAAAACAACCTTTACAGAGGAGGAGAAGGTTTTCAGCAAAGGAAAGTTGAATAAGCTTCAATTTCTTGCATCTCCAATGAAATTTGAATTGGGGGTTAGAGCATGCTTGTTGTTGTATAATTACATTGAGAATCTCCATGGCAATGACAAAGAGGTAAGGTGATAGAGGATCGCCTTGCCTAAGACCTCTGCAGCTTGGGAAGTAACCTACAAGACCACCATTAATATTAATAGAGAAAGAGGGGGAGGAAATGCAAGAATGAATCCATTTTCTTAGTTTTCCGGGAAGTCGAAAGCTTCAAGGGCATCAAGTAGAAAACCCCAGTCCAAAGAATCAAAGGCCTTCATGATGTCGACTTTGATTGCACACCTAGGGGCCCCATCATTTTTGTGGTAGTTTCTAAGGAGTTTCTGAGCAAGCATGATGTTATCCCCTATTTTCCTCCCAGGTATGAAAGCTGTTTGGCTGTGGCTGATAATTTGTGGAAGGATTTCTCTAACTCTATTGGCCATGATTTTGGAGATAGCTTTGTAGAGCAAGTTGCAGCAAGAAATTGGCCTAAAATCCCCCATAGTTGTGGGGTTTGAAACCTTAGGGACAAGAGCAAGCATGGTGGAATTAAGTTCCCAAAGGAGGTTACCATGCTTGAAGAATTCCTTAACAGCTTCAGTGATTTCCTCTCCAATGATGGGCCAAGCCTTCTTAAAGAAATGAGCGTTAAAACCATCCGGACCAGGGGCTTTCATGTCATTGAAGGAAAAGAAGACCTCTTTGATTTCAACAGATTCAACATCCCTAACTAAATGAAACCCTTGAAGGTCAGAAAGCTTGCCAAGATCCAGACTTTCAAAGAAGGATTTCCTTTCTTGAGTGGGAATGGTGCATCTAGTTTTTCCCAGAAGATTTTTGTAGAAGTTGATAGCCTCGTTACCCACAACTTCTTCCCCTTCAACTGTGGAGCCATCAGAAGTCTGAAGTGAAAAAATTCTTTTCCTATTCCTTCTATTGGCCCTTGTTTTGAAGAAAAAGGTTGAATTGTGGTCCCCCTCTTTGAGCCACAGGACCCTAGATTTTTGCTTTAGGAAGGATTCTTCATTTCTGGCTGCTTGGGCATATTCTGCAAGAAGAACTTTTTCCTCTTGTCTTGTGAGGGAGTCTAATGGATTCATGTCAAGCTTCCTCTGGCAATGATCAAGAGCTGCTTTCTTTTCTTTCACTAGGCTAGACAAATCACCAATTTCTTTGCTTTTGACTTTGAAGGCAATTTTGAGCATCCTTAGTTTGCTGCATACTCTGTATTGGTAAGATCCCTGCAAATATACACTCCAAATAGAAGCAACAGTAGGAATAAAATCTTCCCTTTCTGCCAGAAAATTGAAAAATTTGAAGGGGCTATTCTTCTTTTGGGGGGGGGGGTTCCAATTTTTATAAAAACAGGAGTATGGTCAGAAATTCCTGGGGGAAGGAACTCAACCATTGTTCTTTCCATATTGTGAATCCAAGTATCATTACCCAAGGCCCTGTCAATATTTCTAGCAATGCAACCTTCTCTGTCTCTTTTGTTGTCTCTTTTGTTAGACCAAGTAAAGAGGATCCCAGAAAACCTCAATTCCAGAAGCTCAGCATCGTTCACCAAGTCATTAAAGTCCTGAATAGATTGATTCCATCTAATGTCATGTCCTTGATGCTTTTGGATACTTCTCAAAGCATTGAAATCACCAATAAGCAACCAAGGAAGGGAGCTAAAAGAGCTAGAATGGAATCTTAAATCACCCCAAAGTCTTCTTCTCTCATAGTCATCATTAGCACCATAAATGAAAGAGATGATAGCTCTTGTCCTACTATCATTATGGACAACCTCACAGTGAATCACTTGGTCCATATGGGAAACCATATTGATTGTTAATGTAGCAGTATTCCATCCAACCCAGATCCTGCCAAGAGAGTGGCTATCATAGTTTGCAAAAAAGACCCAATTTCTGAAAACATTTCTTCTAATGACTTCTTTGTTAATATTTCTGACTCTGGTCTCAACAATGCCCAAAATGTCAAGATGATTTTCAAAAATGAATTTTTTCACTTCAACTTGCTTTAAGGGGTCATTTAGTCCCCTAATATTCCAAGCAGCAATGTTAAACATAGGAAAACAAAAAAAAAATCAAAAAATTGAGTCTCAAAAACTTAGAACATCCTCAACCTCCCTGTAATAGGATGTTTTTTCTTACCCTTCTTCTTCTTGGTACTATTTCCTTTTGTGTTCAATTGATGAGATTCAATGGAATGTTTCCTAGTTGAAGGGCCGATATCAACAACCAATTGGCCTTCTTGAACCTGGAGGCTTTCAAAACTATTTGGAGATTGGAGTGAGGGATGTGCTGGAAGCATGCAAGTAGATTCAAGTATAGAGTATACCTGGGAATCTTGTTCATTTTGGGATGGAGGCAAAGCCTCTAAGAAATTTTGAGTGATTTGCTGCTCTTGTGCTTGTGTGGAGGTTATGGGATTGACATCTGCAACAGCACTAATTGTAGGGAGTTCAGGAGAAACAAACTCCACTGTGAAAATAATGGATTTCCCCTTCGCACTTCTGGAATTTTCAGGCTTCTGTGGGCGGTTTTTAGGTTTCCAAGCGGTAGCCATCTTGGGATAAGTGGAGTCAGAGTAACCAAACATTTTGCATGAGTGGCAAGTTTTTGGCCTCCATTAGTATTCAACAGAAATTTCAACCTTTTCAATATTGCCATTGATCTCCATTTCGAGGTCGAAAGATCAATGAGCTGGGAGTTTGCACTGACTTCCACACAAATTCTAGCAAAGTTCAACCTACGTTTGGAGGAAGTAAGAGAGTCGGCATGAATATGACGCCCAACCGCACTGAAAATGTGGCTTAAACCCCATCTGTCCAAAATTGTAATGGAACATTGAAAAGCTTACTCCTTAAGGGGATAATGGAGTGGTCCTCTTTGGAGAGAATAAGCCCTGGATTCCAGTTTTTCAAAATCAATGGTCTTCCAGAGAATAACCAAGGCCCAGCTTCAAACACATAATTTTTTGCTTCTTCGCTTATGAACTTGAAGAAATAAAATCCCCTGTCATATGCAAGAACTTCAAGAAGCCCCAACTTGTCCCAATTTCTGTGAGCGATGAAATTAACAGAGGAATAGGGAAGCTTCCTTTCGATGAAATTACCAACCAAACAATGTTGCCATTCCAAACTACCCTTTTCTCCTACCTCTTTAGGAGATTGAACAACCACCCTTTCCTTTTCCCTTCTAGGCCATAATACTTGAGTTTCATCACCTGAGTTTGAACTTCAGCTCCTTGAACATTTCCAGATTTCACGATATGGCTCCAAGTGGATCTTGGGTTGGGGTTACTTTGGTCTTGTGGTCTAGGTTGGCTCGGGACAAAAGGGTGATTAAGCTTTGAAGAAATAGAGTCATTTGGGTTGGAAACAAGGGATCGGTTATTTTGAACGGGGGGATCTTTTTGGCCGAAATCTTCGGTAACCAGCTGACCTTCTTCTATTTCCTTTCCTAGATCCATTGTGATTTGTAGAGAAGGGCATTCATTGGTGGTAGATGGGTCAATGCCCTTCTCTTTGAGTGGGGCAATCTTGGGTAAAGGGTTAGGGAATTTAATACCCTTGTCTGAGATTGTGGGGAGCAAATCTAGGTGGGTGGGGTCCATAGGAGAAGGTGAGAGTGGAGTAAAGGCAGAGAAATCAAGGGAGGGGAGATCTGAGAAGGATTTCTGGAAGGAGGAGGAAGAAGACGAGAAAGGGGGAAAAGGGTTTCATTTCGAACCTCACTTGCATAAGTTATTTCGGACTGGTGTGTTTCAACTTTAGAGATATTACAATAGCCAAATTTCATGTCAAAAATCATGAAATGTCAAAATTTTGAGTTTGTATCATAAAATATACATTTAATAAAAATACAAATTTTTCTTTATCAGCAAGACCCTATGCCTCAAGGTGTGAAAAATTGTGTGAAAGAAAGAGACATATTTATAAGAAATTTATAAAAAAAAATTATTATAATATTAACAGCTATGCATACTTCTGAATTATAAAAATTTATCGTTTTAACTTTTCAAAAAATCTAACAGATACCTACGCTAAACAAAATTGTTGGATACGTTATTGAGTTTGAGTTATGTAGGCAAAGACGGTATACCTATTAACTTCTTTGTAGTTACAAAATTAGTGGTATTCCGTGGGATGCACGTGATGGGCGGCCAATTGGAAAAAGGATCAAAACAAATTATGTTAAAAAAAAATCAAAAGATAAGTCGTAATGGGGAAACGAAGCGCGTAGGAATTTTTGCATCGCAACACAATATAAGATTTGCAATTGCGTATCAATTTTGAACCTATAGTACTTGATTTGTAAACACGCTTTCATATTAAAAAGATAGATTTAAAATACATTTTAACTGAACAAGCGATAATTTGATAATTATTTTACAAACTGCTAAATAATATTAAATTATTAAAATCCTTTTAATTTAATAGAAAACTTTAATAGTTTTTCTTTCGAACAATAGAAAGGAGTTGTTTGTGGTACTGAAGAAAACAAACTTGATGATGCACATATCGGTTTACACACCACTAGTCAATTAAGTAACATGAAATGAAGTAAAGTAGAGAGAAAGAAATAGAAGACAAGGTTTATAGTGGTTCGGCCGTGGCCTACGTCCACTTTGAATGATTAGGTTTGCCGGAATTTTATTATCTCTAGTGTGAAAGGAGAGCAAATGATTACGAACTTTGAGAGAGGAGGAGAGAATTATAATCAAATGAGTCTGATGCCCCCCAGTGTTGGGGGAGCTTACAATTTATAGTGGCTTGACATAGTAATTGTATGACTTGTCTGACGGTCATAATGGCTTAGGACCGTTTGATCGTAATTAGGTAGCTGATCTGGCGGAGGTGACCTATCATCTTCTCAACGGGCGAGGTGTGACGGTTGGTGTGCTCTCCAAAGGACTTGTTCAATGATGAGGGAGGTTGACTTTCTCCAAGCTACGAGGGTGAGGCTCCTAGATGCTCCCTTGGTGGCGTAGAGGAGGCTCTTGGATGACCCTTACTCCAAGGTGGTAGAGGAGACCCTTAGATGACCCTTACTCTAAGGTGGTAGAGGAGACCCTTGGATGACCCTTACTCCAAGGTGGTAGAAGAGGCCCTTGGATGACCCTTACTCCAAGGTGGTAGATGAGGCTCTTGGATGACCGTGTATGCTCCCCTGCTGATGTAGCTCCTTGATCTTGATAAGGTTATCCGGGTGTAGATTCCTTTGGACTTGACTAGCTGAATCTCTTGGAATTGAGCATTTAGCTCGAACCAAGCTTATAACATGGGTTGGGTATGGCCCATCATTTGCCCCCCAATGCCCTACGTCCAACAGAACTTGGATAGGAGGGCATTGAAGTTGAATTTGAATTTTTAATTGACCGGCATAATTGAAAAAACTTTAAGAGGCCAAAATATCCGTTTATAGGCCTTTTTTGGACTTTTAACAACATCATTTATAGGCATAGGTTGTGAATATTGTAGAGCTCACCGAGAGCTTCGATTTGATATATTATAAGCCTCATTTTGAGCAATAGAGCAAAAATTACGGTCAAAACTTTGAGCCAGAGCTAGGTGCATGGTTTTAGGCGAGTAGACCACTTCTAGGCGGGCACATACTGTGCTGGGCGAGCAGAAAGCCTCTTGGGCTAGCTGAATTTTTAAAAAAAAAAAAAAACTTCAGGAGGCCAAAACACCTCTTTCTGGGCGCTTTTTGAACCTTTTTTGAAAATCTCATTATCGTAGATAATGAGTTTTGCTCAGCTCGTCAAGAGCTTCGATTTGGTATATAATAAATCTTGTTTTGAGTTTTAGATCAAGAGTTACGGTCAAAATAACGTACAACTCTTTTTAAATCTGAATTTTTTGAAAACTTCCCTTGATCGACGACCTCCTCCCTTCCAATAGACTCCTTTTTCTTGTAGGACTCCATTGACTATATAAACTCCCTCATTCCTTTTTTTTTTTTTCGAACAATGTCAAATGGTGGAGATCATGTGCTAAGGTCTGCAAATCTTGGTGTGCAACTTGGAAATGTTGATGTTGTTCCCTGGAGAAGAGATGGAGGTGCATGGCTCGCAGGACTGGCTACTGGGCGAGGGCTGGGCACCCATGTTGGCGAGGCAACGGAGGCCTTGGGTGAATGGGTTGCTTGTGAGGCTGGTGGTCTAGGCAGGCTTGGTGATCTGGGCAAGCAAACCAGGGAGGCTCCTGTTGTGTTGGGCAGTCTTGTAGGCGAGCAGAGCTTGGGCGATCATGCCTTGGGAGAGCAGGACTTGGGTGCAGGCTGTAAGGAGGGGTGTTGGGCAAGCACTTCTGTTGGTCAGGGATTGGGCGTCGAGGCCCAAGTGCAGGGCACCCAGGCTGTGGCAACCCAGGCGAGCACGGAGCCCTCGAGCAAGTGGAGTAGCTCTGGGGAGTGCATCGATGGGCGCCTTGGTGTTGTTGTATGCACGAACCAGTTAGACGAGCATCCTGTTGTGCAGGGCCGTTTGGGTGAACAACATGTTGTGCTTGGCATCTTGGACGAGCATGGGTATGCCTTAGTCGCTAATCCAGGCGAGCAAGGAGGAGGAAAGAGGGCTGGTCTTGGTGTGCAAGTGCCATAAAGCACCATTTTGGGTGAGCACAAAGGGTTAGGCGCCCCTCCAGGCGCTGACAGAGGGGGTCAGACACTGCTTGGCGCCGCTGGCTAAGCATCTCAGGCGTTGAGTGCTAGATGGATGAGGCCCCGATTGTTGACATTCAATCTAAGGTAATCCCTCGGGTTGTAGACGACCTGAGTTTCAAGATCCTGACTAGAGATGACAAAAATAATGTTATTCTAAATATTTAAAATATCTAACATAATTACCTGGAGAAAAGTAGGCTGCTTGCGCGAGAGCAAAGACAGAGTTTGAAGACTGCTCGTGAGAGAGCTTCTCCTTTTGAGATCGAGTCTTTTAGCAACCCATGAGAGAGTCCTTAAGCTTGAGATATAGACTGCCTGTTTGAGAACAGTGCAGAGGCCAAGCTTTTGGGCGACCCGCGAGAGAGCCGCTAAGCTAGGGATATAGGCTGCCTGTTTGAGAACAGTGCAAAGGCCAAGCTTTTGGGCGACCCGCGAGAAAGCCGCTAAGCTAGGGATGTAGGCTGCTTGTTTGAGAACAGTGCAGAGACCAAGCTTTAGGACGACTCGCGAGAGAGCCGCTAAGCTAGGGATGTAAGCTACCTGTTTGAGAACAGTGCAGAGGCCAAGCTTTTGGCTACCCGCGAGAGAGCCGCTAAGCTTGGGATGTAGGTTGCCTGTGTTGGGAACAATGATGAGGTCAAGTTTTTGGAGATTCACGAGATGATTCACCTCACTCAAACCTGTTGATTTCTTCAGCATTCATATATTTTTGAGCTTTTGCCAATAGTTCTGGCATGCTCTTTGGTGGTCGCTTCATAACTGAGAAGAGGAAGTTTGACGAGCGGAGGCCTCCCAAGAAGATGGTCATTGCTACTTTGTCATCGGGCTCCTCAACCTAGAGGGCCTCCTTGTTAAAACGACTGAGGTAACTCCTTAAGCTCTCGTCACGGTCCTGCTTTATGCTAAACAGGTGGGTGACGGGCTTCTGGTGGTAGAGAGGAAGGTAGGGCGCCTGGTGAGGAGAGCTGATCTCCCGGAGGGGAGAGCAGGGTGCTATGAGAGAAGAGCATGACGCCTGGAGAAGAGAGCTGGTCTCTAGGAAGGGAGAGCAGGGTGCCAGGAGAGGAGAGCAGGGCGCCAAGAGAGGAGAGCAAGATGCCTGGAGAGGAAAGCTGGTCTCCAGGAAGGGAGAGCAGGACACTTGGAGAGGAGAGCTGATCTACAGGAAGGGAGAGCAGGGCGCCAGGAGAGGAGAACAAGGCACCTGGAGAGGAGAGCTGGTCTCCAGGAAGGGAGAGCAGGGCGCCATGAGAGGAGAGCATGACACCTGGAGAGGAGAGTTGGTTTCTAGGAAGGAGCAGGGCGCCAAGAGAGGAGAGCAGGGCGCCTGGAGAGGAAAGTTGGTCTCTAGAAAGGGCCTGGGTGCCTGCCCTGTGTGCCTGGGCACCTGTGCTGTCTTGGGCGCTTGCCTCATTATTCTCCTCTTCTTCTGCTGGTATAAGCTCAGCAACAAAATTTGCTAATGTTTGTGCTTTGATGGCCGCCCTTAGTTGGTATTGAATGTCGAACTCCCCAAGTTCCACTGCCCACTCTAGGAGTCTCCCAGATACATCTGGTTTTCCCAAGACTCTCTTCAGAGGTTGGTCTCTCCTATGCTAGTTCTCACCCTCATCCTTTTGGAAGAGAGGGTCTCTACCATGAGAAAGGGGAGCTGGATGTCCCTCGTGGGGAGCTCTCCTGTGCTGGCGCCTAGTGGGGCTCCAAAGGGGGCGCCCAGATGAGGAACACTCATGTGGGGAACTCCTTGATGCCTAGGGCGTAGAGCTCCTCGAGTTTGAGGTCCAGGCTGTGCTCCTCCTTGTCCAGCGAGCATCAGTTGCAAGATCTGCTGGTTTTGGGACGGAAGTTGTTGCATGGTCTCGAGCATCTGCTGCGCATTTGGGGCAAGATTGATTGGTTGAGGAGCAACCTCCTCCTCTCTTGATGGTGGGTTATCTTCAAGCTGAT